AGGTATATATAGCATTCGTAACAATTGTCCTTTGGTCGTTTATCATTTTCTAAGAATCTACCCAACCGTTTTTTGTTCGGCACGTCTCTCTTTATCTGGTATATTTTTAGGCTGATATCAGATTTGGTCGTCGTTATTGTTTCTGCTACTTGTGGAGGAATTGCCTTTGCTTGTGCTGGTCAACCGGTGAGTACACGCTTCCTTTGCAGATCTTATGACTTTCAACATTATTCCTTTAGCATTTGAGTATTCATCATTCCAAGAGTTTGGAATTGATTTTGTTGGCACTCGAATCATCGAACTGTGACAGCGATATTTAATTTCTGCGCTTCTTACATGGCAGGTCATTACTGGGTATCTATTGGCTGGCTCTGTCATTGGACCGGGTGGGTTAAGCTTTGTTAGTGAAATGGTGCAGGTAGCTTACATCAGCTTTAGTTCTTCAGAGTTTCTCATTTATCTCTTCATATTACATTTGTTCGGGAGTTTTTATGACTAAGAGATTGCCTGGTTATATTATGTCCGACAAGTACTTGATTTATATATTTTTTTGTGTAGCACAGGTGGAAACAGTAGCTCAGTTTGGTGTAATATTTCTCCTTTTTGCTTTAGGATTAGAATTTTCAGCAGCAAAGGTTTGCATGTTTCCAAGCTCTTATATTTTTCTTCTTTCTTCTTTTGGAACTCTTGAGACAGCTATTTTACTTTGTTGTCGCAGCTTCGTGTAGTTCGTGCAGTAGCTATTCCAGGGGGTCTTCTTCAAATATTTTTGTTCATGTGCTTAAGTGGGATAACAGCCTCGGTATGTTTTAGTTTCTAAAATAGTAATAGCAATTGAGTAAGGATGAGTTTAGGATCATAAAAAAGAATTCGTTGGGGTTGACTTAGCTGCTTCTTCATTGTATTGCAGTTATGCGGGGGTAAACTAACAGAAGGAATATTCGTCGGTGCTTTTCTTTCGATGTCATCAACAGCGGTGGTATATTCTAATATCACTTGTGTATTCTGAACTGTTGTAATTTACTCGTGCTTACTCTCACTGTATTTGATATTTTCTGTTGTTGTACCGGGTATGTTCCCTTGAATTTCTGTTTAGGCTTGATCCTAATATGTTATTATTACTTCCCATGATTCTTGTATCAGGTCTTGAAATTTTTAATGGAAAAAAATAGCATAAGTGCTCTACACGGCCAGATAACCGTTGGAACACTTATCCTTCAGGTATCTACTTAGTCACTCTTCCAAACAATGGCATAGTAGTATGATTTTTTCATGCCACTGTTTCCCCTTACCCTCTTGTATGAAACTGGATTTCATCACTTAATATGTTGTATGCGACAGTTTCTTTCATTTAATTTTTAATATATGGTTTCATGAATCTCTAGGATTGTGCTGTGGGTTTGCTTTTTGCTCTCCTTCCAGTTCTTGGTGGCACATCTGGCGTCCTTCAAGGAATGTTGTCCATGGCTAAATCGTATGTATTCTATTTTCCTTGAAGTTCTATGAAATTATCTACAGTATTCTGCTTCCGTTTTCAATTGTTTTACTGTCGTCCAATGACATCAAATTTTTGATACTTCATTTCTTTTGACCACGTGGTAGTTTCTTTCCAGGTTGGCTATATTGATTGCGTTTTTGGCTGCTTTGTTTGTATTGTCACGTACCTGGGTACCTTGGTTTCTAAAACTTATGACAAGCCTTTCTTCTCAGGTAAACACCTTTCACCTGCTTCCGTTTGTGGTCTTTAAAATGTTTATCAGCTTAAACGCTCGTCAATCTTTGACAGACTAACGAGCTCTACCAATTGGCCGCTGTAGCATTTTGTTTGCTTGTCGCTTGGGTTAGTCTGATCCTTTGTTCTTCTTATCTGTTGCCTTTTGCACATGTGTGATCTCAAATTTTAACTTCATAAACTCAATATTATTTTGGCTTCTTCAGTGTAGTGACAAGCTCGGTCTAAGTCTTGAGTTGGGTTCCTTTGCGGCAGGAGTAATGATTTCAACAACTGATCTCGCACAGCATACTCTTGAACAAGTAAGAAGTCAAGTTTGACTGTTTCGAACTTGAGTATCTTATCCCATAATCTTTGGAAAACTCTTATGTCACAAGCTTACATTAACGAAATACATTTCCCTTCTTTTCCTATTATACACAAATTTACTCTACCTTATAGAGCTATTCTTACCGTTGCTATGCCGGCCTTTCAGGTAGAACCCATCCGCAATTTTTTTGCAGCGCTGTTCCTTGCTAGTATTGGCATGTTGATACATATGCACTTCTTGTGGAACCATGTTGACATTCTGGTCGCAGCCGTGTTACTGGTGATAGTGATAAAGACGGTGGTAGTTGCAATCGTTGTTAAAGTCTTTGGATACAATAACAAAACAGCTGTGCTTGTAAGAAGCGAACCCTTCTTTCCTGCTTTCACATTGCTCCAAACCTTCTCGTAGTGAGAGAAGCCTTACAGTTTTCTTGTCTATAGGTTGGAATGTCACTTGCGCAGATTGGGGAATTTGCTTTTGTTCTGCTAAGTCGAGCATCTAATCTTCACCTAATCGAGGTAGGCTCTTTGATTTATAGATATCAATGTGGTACAATAATAGCTTGCTTTTTGGCGGAGTGATGGTAATAATGAAGGTGAGTTTGTGTTTATTTGCAGAGCAAATTGTACCTCCTGCTTCTGGGAACAACTGCTTTAAGCCTGGTATGGTCCACAACCACACCATATTTACTTAAAAGTTCAATTTTAGAACGAATATTTTGAAAGAAAAATCAATGGTGTTTAACAAATTAAAGTGAATATGTTTGCAGGTAACGACACCATTTCTATTCAAGTTGATACCGGCCGTTGTACATTTAGGAGTGCTCTTACGGTGGTTCTCTCCCGACAGCTCAACTGAGGTAAATCAAAAAATACATATATGTCCTATTTCTCTACACTCCTTTGGCACAAACTCAACTTTGGATCGTCTTTTTCTTTCATCTGTATCAGATTGGGTTCAAAGGAGGATTGTATCGTTCAGAGAGTGCAAAGCGTATATCAGAATTGATCCAAGGTTCTCTTCACGATTCTTGAGGGTGTTTCCGTAGTCGACACGACACAACATCAAAGCCACATTTGATCTCAAGCTATAGGCAAAGACAATGAATGGGAACCGTCGATAGTGTTCCGGATGTATAGATGTTTCTGAGAGATCAAGTCGAAGAGGAAAACTGTATAAAATCTCTTACACGAAGATAACTACTACACGGACTTGTAACTTTGCTTCATTCTTCTCTATAATGTTTTGGGATTCATTTTGGGTAACAAGATAGGAAACTTAGAAACAATCTTCAACTTTTTGTAATGATTACCAACCTATAAAACTACCATAAAGAGTTTTTCTAATTGACTAAAGAATACAACAACAAATACAATTTAATAGTAAGAGGTGGACGATTAATCTACGAACCTGATTGCAAGTTGAGACTTGTTTCAGAGGCAGATATGTCGGAATGGACTTCCAACTCTTTGATTTGATTCTGAAATAGAAGTCGAGAAACTACCATTAGCGGATGGATTCTTATGATGCGGGGCTGATAAAGATGATCTATCCTTTTCTCTTTGCAAGATGAGATCAATATCCAGAACAAGAATCTCATCATTAATACCATCCCTTTCCTTTGCTGTAAGTTTGTATCATGTGGAGGCTCAAACGCCAAAATAAATCTTTTCGTTCTATGGCCTAAGTTTCCACATCTCTCACAAGTAGATTATATTGCTTTGTTTATCATCGAGGGCAATAAGTTCCGGAAAATTTCTATCTAACTCCATTTCTACTAGCACCTTAGCTTCTCCGATACTTGTAGGAGAAGAAAATTTCCTCGCTTATACACAAGTGTTACAGTTGTAAAACTAAACAGAACCATTACTCTGTTTTACTCTCACTTCCACGTCTCAGTTTATTTTAGCTGGCAAGAACTTACCATTTAGGGGATTGACTGCACAGATTTATCCATCCTTTTCCAATCTTAGATCCATAAACAAACGATATCTATTCTTGTGCCACAAGGTTAAATAAACTTGTATTGATTATAAGCACAATAATAACTTACATTAGAACAATGATACAAAGTTTGTATTAATGAACATACAACTTTCTAAAGTGTCTACAACATACAACTTTGCCCTTGGAAACCATAAGAACGGAAGGGAGCAAGCACCGAGAGTTACACACACAGCAAATTAGTCTACAAATTGAGGTGTTGGACACCACTTCGGCACCAATTCTTAAAAATGAACCTGGCGAGAGATAGGAGAAGTCTCCAAAAAGGCATGAAATATGCAAAACGACTCCACAATCTTTGCATGTGTAGAAACCTCTCTTTAAATCCACTTTTGTTTCACATGCCTCACACCAATATTTTTTACCCATACTCATGTCTCCATATGACAAGAAGAGTGGATGATCATCATATCTGTTTTTCATTACCTTCTCAGGTAAACGAGCACATTTGATGTCCAATATATAGTCTTCACACTCATCACATCTAAAGGAAAACACTTCCACCTTCTCACATCGACTACAATGCTCAATGTTGTCTCTAAAGTAGTATAAAGGATGTGGATGACTTTCGTGATCAAGTGAATCTGAAATTGAAGCACATCGTACATCTAGAGTCACATAATTTACAGATTCGTATCTGAAACCTGTGGAGTATTGGTCACAAAGCCAACATTTAAATTCGACCTCGGAATCTCGGTGAAGCGTGAATGGCAGGTTGTTGCGCACATGGCGTTTAATCCGTGGAAGGTTTGCACATTTTTCGTGGAGAATGAAATCACATTGCTGATGCTTGCAAATGTAGAAAGGTTCTGAACCAATCTGGAAGACGTATGCCTTACATAGTGTGTTTTCAGATAGAATCATCCCATCCTTGCTGAATCGTAAGTTATGATGCTCATGGCTGAAATGTCTTATGGTATTATCATCAATCACCTCATAAGGCGCAATTTCCTCTTATTCTGGTGTCCCTTCTCGTTCGACCATGTCCCATACATCTGTTCTCGTGGCACATCTTACATGAACAGCAAAAGTAGGACATTTTGGGCAAGTGTAAGCCCCGTAGAACCAATCTACTTTTTTACGGCAAACTCTGCATTTCCACTCTCCATGTCCAAGACGACTAGTGTAAGAGATGCGGTGATCATGGCGGTTGATGTTTATGACGCGTGGTAAATCAATACATTCCCTGTGGATCATGAAATTACATTGAAGACAGAAATAGGGGCTTCGACTACCTTGGGTCCCACAAGCATTGCAAGTGAAGTCAATGAGCCTTGGAACAAGATGAAGTTGATGTTCATGTGTCTTGGGGCATTCAAAATCAACCGGTGGTGGGTGTCTTATACACAATCTGCATATGCTGAAATTACAAACATCACAGTGGTGAAGTTGGTGATCTTCTTCATCGATTGTAAGGGAAGGTTAGGGACGATCAGTTTGAGAGGATGGTCGGGATGGATAGAGTGGTTGATCTCTTTCAAGGGATTAGCGCAATCTTTATGGAACACAGCTTCTTCACACCCCAGCTCATTGCAACGGTAACTGTTTGAGGTGAAAATGGTTAAGAACAATATAAAAAGAGAGATGAGACGAACAAAGACGATCTTTATTAGATCTGAACAAGGAGTTACAAGAAGATGAGTAAAGAGGCGGAATAGCCGGAAATACAAGATGGTGAGTATCGGTGAAGGTGAGTAAACCCTAGATCTAACCACCTAATCTCTAAGAAACCCTAGATCTAGCCGCCAAGTGAGTATGTCGAATTCCGGATCCCTTTTTCCCCTTGCTGCCTCTCTCCTCTTATAGACCCTATCTTCGTGTTCGCCCTAGTTTATCCGAGCCTTGTTGGGCTTTATTCTTGTTGGTCCCGTTTAGTAGTCTGGGTAAGCCGTACTTCCGCCGACTCTTCTAGAACACTCTTAGTCGCGCTACTAAACACGTCCTCATGCTGAGTCGTTTTGATGTATCTAATGGGCCGAGTATATTGTCGTGTTGGGCTAAGTTTCTCCATTTGATGGGCCTTGTGGAGGGGTATAACCCATCTCTTTTGTTGTAATGCTGACGGGAACAAACCATGGGACCAATGATATCCATAACCCAGCGCATGAACGGATAAGGAGTGGTAGAAGTTTGTAACACTTCCGTTGGGCAATGTATAACAGGGGCATGTCTCTAGCATTTGTCGCATTGACGAGAATAGGATTCACAGTCTGTGTTCATAGTTGGCCAGAAGAGGCCTGCGTTTCTGATCTTTAAGGCTAAGGCCCGTCCTCCGGAATGGTTTCCTCCAGCGCCGTCGTGGGTTTCGGCCATCGCACGTCGAATCTCATCACCGTGAATGCATTTGAGGAGGACCCCGCATGCGTTGTACCTGAAAAGTTCGTCATCCATGACGGCATAATGCGCGCTGCGCCTTTTTAGTCGTCTAGCCTCCCACTTCTCGGTTGGCAGGGTGCCGTGCGAGAGGTAGTTGATAAATTCCAAACGCCAGTCAACGGTCTGCTGATCGGTCTCAGTCATTGCTGTGTCATTGACGGGGGCGACAAGGATAGACGTCTCATTTGAAAAGTTGATGCTGGGTTCGTCGATGCGATGTATCGGAATGGTTCGCTTGATTTGGTCGCATAATTTGCTTCCAAGAGCGGCGAGTGCATCTGCGCAAGCGTTTTCACCACGAGGTACCTTGGTGAGCTCGAAAAATTCGAACTCTTTTGCCAACTCGTGAACGATACAGAGGTAAGCATCCATTCGGTCGTTGCGGGTGTCGTAATCTCCATTATACTGACCGGCGACGAGCTGAGAGTCACAATATGCACTTACTCGTTTTGCTTTGACTGCCTTAGCCAAGCGTAGGCCGGCTATCAATGATTCGTACTCAGCTTCGTTGTTTGACGCGGGGAAGCCGAAGCTGAATGATTGACGTATCAGTTCGCCAGTTGGGGATTGGAGTTGAACACCTGCGCCCAAACCCTTGTTCGTTGAAGAACCATCCACATGTAATATCCAATTCTGACTCGGGAGTTGTGTGTCCTGCTCTAGTTCGGGTGCCAACTCGACAATGAAGTCGGCCAAGACCTGAGCTTTGAGGGCTGTGTTGTTCTTATACGTGATGTCAAGCTCCCCGAGTTCTACGGCCCACTTTGTTAGTCGACCGGCGCGATTCGTATTCTGCAGGACAGTTCGGAGGGGCTGATCAGTCAGCACCTCAACCGAGTGTGATTGGAAGTAGGGTCGAAGCTTTCTGACTGCTTCTACCACGGCGAGAGCCATCTTCTCGAGAGCTGGATACCGAGTTTCCGGGCCGGTCATACGCCTGCTTGTGTAGAAGATTGGCTTCTGTTCACCTCTGTCCTCCTTGATGAGGACGCTGCGCTAGAGACGGCAACGTAGAGTGAGAGGACGTCTCCTTCGTCTGGCTTTGCGAGGACTGGAGGAGTGGTGAGGTACTTTTTGAGCTGGGAGAAGGCTTCCTCGCACTTGTCATCCCAAACGAATTTCTTGTTTCCACGGAGAAGGTCGTAGAAATGGAGACATTTATTGGTTGACCTAGAAATGAATCGGTTAAGAGCGGCGATGCGACCAGTTAGCCGCTGGACTTCGCGGCTATTCTTGGGACTTGGGAGATCGAGCACATCTGATATTTGCTTCGGGTTGGCTTCAATGCCGCGTTGAGTAACAATGTAGCCTAGAAATTCACCGGAGGAGACTCCAAATGTACACTTCGCTGGGTTCAGCTTCATCCCATACTTGTTTAGGGTTTCGAAGCAATCGCGCAGATGGTTAAGATGATCTTTGGCGTGAAGCGACTTAACGAGCATATCGTCGATATAAACTTCCATGGTGCTACCGAGTTTGTCGGCGAACATGCGGTTGACCAGTCGTTGGTAGGTAGCACCGGCGTTCTTCAACCCGAACGGCATGACTTTATAACAGTATGTTCCCCGGTCTGTGATGCACGCTGTCTTCTCGCGATCATCGGGGTGCATCATAATCTGATTGTAGCCCGAGAACGCATCCATGAAGGTGAGCATCTCGTTTCCCGCGGTTGATTCTACGAGACGGTCGATGCTGGGTAACGGGTAACTATCCTTCGGACAAGCTTTGTTAAGATCGGTGAAGTCGACGCAGACGCGCCACTTCCCGTTCTTTTTCTTGACTACTACAGGATTCGCTAGCCATTCCGGGTAATGGAATTCTGTGATAGATCCGGCTCCGAGTAGTCGTTCGACTTCCTCGTTCACTGCTTTCGCTCTTTCCGGGCCCAGCTTACGTCTTTTCTGGCGGATAGGTTTGAAAGTGGGGTCGACGTTGAGCTCGTGGGTAGTTATTGCTGGATCGATTCCTTTCATGTCCGTCATAGACCAAGCGAAGGTGAACACATTTTCCTTCAGGAATGTGAGCAATGCTCGCTGCATATCGTCGGCTAGATGTGCACCGACGCGCACCGTCTTACTTGGATCGGAATCGTCTATAGGCATCTCCAGAACCTCGTCTTTCTGAGGGAAAGTTCGAGCGATCGGGTGAGAGACAGAGTCGACGAGGGATGATGAGCGTTGCAGCTTCACTGTGGCGATCAGCAGATCTCGACCGGCTTGCTGATCTCCGTGTACGGTCTTGATTGTTCTGTCCACCCCAGGGAACTTGATGCATTGGTGGTAGGTGGATGGAACTGCCTGCATCGAATGTATCCACGGGGTTCCGAGAATGACGTGGTAAGGGGCTTTGGTGTTTACCACGGCGAATTTAACCGTTCGAGTAACCCCGCATGCGCGGACTGGAAGACGGATCGTCCCTAGGACGGTTTCCGATGAGCCGTTGAACCCGGTCAAAGTTCGTGAGGACGACTTGACTTCGTCGAAATCGACCCCCATCTTCTCAAGCGTATCACGAAAGATGAGATCAACTGAGCTTCCTGTGTCGATTAATACTTTGGTCACATCGTACTTACCGATCTGAAGGACGACTAGCAGAGGATCGTTGTGAGGCAGATGGACTCCGTTCAAATCGTCGGGGGAAAAGCTGATTGGCGTATGGCTCGGTGGTTTCGCAGGCCAGCGTCTCGAGGACGCGGCTTGGCGCCGGTAGTCTTTGACCGAGCGGACAGAGTCGCCACAGGGAGGTGATCCACCCATGATGACGTTCAGCCGTGGTTTCGCGGTTACTCGTTTGGTGTCTAAGAATGTACGAAGATCCGCAGGGACGTCCTGGGCGCTCGGCTTCGACGGTTCCACAGTATGGGACGCATTTGACCGCTCTAGCCGTCGACTTATTGATTTGGAACGGTTTAGCCGCGCGCGTAAATTGGTCAGGTTAGCGTTGAGTTTGTCACGCAGATCAGTGACGGGCTTTTCGACCGACAAGGGAGGCTCTTCGGTTTCCAGGTGCCGCGACTTGTTGGCTTGGAGCATGAGGCGAAGATCTTTGCTGTTGGCGTCGCTGCATGTCGTCACCTTTCGCTTGAGGAAGTTCCGCAGGTCGCTTGACACTGGCGAGTTATCGTCCTCGTCGTCAGACGATAAAGGTTGCTGAGATCGTATTACTTCAATACGTTGACGACTTGCTGGTTGCCCCTCGTCTGCTGAAGAAGCTTCGTTGTCCGCGTCATCCGAAGGTTTGTCGTCTGCACGACGTTGCTCTCCGTTTTTACCACCGGACTTTCGCTGCGCGCATTTGTCCTTGTTCTTAGACCAACTCTTGTCGGATTTCGGTTTTTGCTTTGGAGGCTGAATTTTGAAGTCGCCTTTTTCAACCGACGAGAGAAATTCGGCGTACATCGTCCTACACTCGGTAGTATCGTATCCTTTGACGTCATGGTACTTGCAGTGTTTGGTGAGGTCGACTCCTTTAGAAGATCTTGCCCCTGAGGTAGCCGGCGACGCGGGTTGGGTCGTTCCGGCAGGACTAGCCAAACCTTTTAGGGCTTCCGTTTCTCGGTTGTACACGTTCCATGGCTCGCCACGTACTGAGAAACTTGCGACTGGTGTGTTATTCTCGCCAACGACAAAGAGAAGCCCGTTCTTTTGCTGTTTCTTGTCGCCAGAAGCGTGTTGACGCGGCTCCGGATTTGCGTCGGAGGTCTTGGGCGTCGTCGGCTTTGCCGCGCTATGTTTGCTCATGATTGCTTTCGTGTCTTCCTCCATGCGGATGAAGTTGTGTGAACGAGCAATGGCATCTTGGAGCGTCGTGGAGGTGCTTCGGTATAGGTCCTCTCGGAACTTGGAATCGAGATGGAGGGTGTTCATCAGAGCGTCGACGGCTATGTGGTCAGGGATGTCGATCTTTGAGACGATTGACTTGAAGCGCTCCATAAAGTCTCGGAGACTTTGGTCTTTAGTCTGCTTTAGGTTCCACAAGCTGGAGGCTGTCGCTTCGCGCTTAGTGAACATGATGTAGGTTTTGAGGAAAG